CCCCCCCAGAGCTTAAGCATTGAATGCGCACGTTAAGTGGACTAACCCATAGTCGATTCATAAACGGTTGTTGAACTGATCTATTGCCCCCCTCCCCAAACCGATAAGTTTCATAAAACGTCAAATCTTGAATGGCGTGTCGCAGTCGTCAGTTGTTGAAAGCCGCTGAGGTTGACTGCAGGGGACGGTACCGACGTCTGTTTTCCTTTCAAACTGTGGACAATTCGCTGCACCAGCAAATAGGGGCGTCGACACAGGGGTGGGGAAGGGGTGGGGGAGATTAAGCAGTACCTCCAATCTGAGTTTTTTTTTTTTTTTTTTTTTTAAAGGGTGGATGCTACCCATGTCTGCTTTTGAATTCCTCCAGTGAACAAAATTAATATGGGAGCGATAGCAAAACAAACACTAAATATTTATTTTTATTCTGGGGTGGGGGAATGTTTGTTAGGGGTGGAAAAAGTGTATTTATAATTGTCAGGCTGAGGCTGCTAACGGCATTCTAATCCTCTGGTGTGTAGTGACACGTGTATTGAGTGATGTGTACTTTGAAGGCATATCCAACCAGCAGCCAGATCCGACCATCGATTGGAAGACTTAAAACCAAAATAAAAATTATAGGCCTACTAAATTTTTCTTTGTTTGAATATTCTCTGGATTTTAACATTAAATTTTTTTGTGTGCAAAATTTGCGGAATTATTGTGTTAAAATTGAAATAGTTTAGTATAAATATTACCATGGAATAGACAAGAATGTTCTAATAATGCTCTAACGATGTTTGAACTGTAATTGTTTGTAGAGTTAATATATATTTATAGTGACGTCCCCAGTTAAACACCAATACCTTGCCTGGCACGAAGCGAACACCGGTCTGGCACGAAGCGAACACCGGTCTGGCACGAAGCAAACACTGGTCTGGCACGAAGCAAACACCGGTCTGGCGGGAAGGGAAGGGCGTTGGTCGGGGAGGATATGCGCTACTGTACCCACAGACAGTGTTTTTTTCTGACATTGCCCCCTCCCGAGGGGGGGTGTGGGTGGGATTTCAGAGTTTCGAGAGGTGGGGTGGGCAGTCGACAGTGGCCAGAGGTGTAGCTAAGGTGTGGCAGATGAGACATACGTCTCGGGGGTGCCAGACTGGCAGGGGCACCAAAAATGGGCGTTGATGGTATTAAATGGTTGAAAACAATTAGTTTCAGAGTTGAAAACGGGGGGGGGGGCATAAATGAATAATGTTCCCTGGCACCAAACACTCTAGCTGCGCCAATGCCGGCGGTGTAGAAAGGTAGAGGATGAGTTTGTTCACCCAGGTTGTCATCCTTTCTTTATATGGAGGTGTGGCATTTCCGGACAAATGCAGAGTTCGTATCATGAAAGGGAGGGAGGCAAAAATATTGTGCCCCCCATGCTGGCACTAATGCACTTGGCAGTGTATCTATCGTCACCAAACTTAGCGATCATTTTTTATCACGGATGTAGAGCAGAAATTAAGGGCGCCGATGAATTTTTGATTTTATTTATATCAATAAATGAATTTTGCTTTTTTTAAAATATAAATAAAACCAAGACAAAGATCATGAAGGTAAACTCAACCAACCAAGAGCATATCTCTCTATCAGGAAATGCACTTGATTAAGTGGAAGCTTTCACATACTTAGGCAGCACTCGTTAGCCTTGGAAAGCAACTCATCTAATAGAAGGCTAACTCTGAATTCAAACCAGGAGCCAAAATGATAAAAAAAATTGATCGTGGGCCCTCAAATATGAAAAAGAAAAAAAAACACCATCGACATAAATGGTGGATCCGAAGCGGATGACAGGGTTAAAATTGAAAAGGCTAGGACGGCATTAGTGCTATTAAAGAACATATGATTATCAAAAGGAGCTGAATCTTCAAACCAAAGTCAGAATTTTCAACACAAATGCCAAAAAAGTCTTACTATATGGTGCCGCAACTTAGAGAACACCAGCCAGCATTACGCAGAATGGACAGACCTTCATAAACACTCGCCTTAAAAAGATCCTGAGCACCAAATAGCTAAACACCATCACCAACAAATACTTACTAGAACGGACACACCAGGAGCCTATTGCATAAGGAGGAGATGGATCTGGACATGGCACACTCTCCGCGAACGCCCAGATAACATCACCAGATATTCCCTAACATGAAATCCGCAGTGAAAAGAAATAGACGGTGTCCTAAAAAATACACAGAGACGCGAGCTAGAGGCAGTCGCACAAAGTATGGGATTCGCCTGGAAGCAACTGGAAAGGAAAGTACAGGACCGAGATGAATAGAAACTCATGTAGACGGCATACGACCCAGACTGGGTAAACGGCAAAAGTAAGTAAGTAAGAGGAATCTTGAGCGGTAGAGGGGTCTACTAAGAATGATTTTTATTATTTCAAAATCAAGAAGTGCATTTTAGAGTATAGTTGAATTCAATGCTTTTTTTTATTATACTTTTTGATCAAGGAAAAGATATCTTTAAGGGTCTGGGGAGGCATACACTGAATTCACCCGATTGTGGCGTGCCCCAGAGTAATCATTTGGCACAAGCTTGTATTCAAATTCATAACGTAACATTGATCACCGTGATAGAATAAAATTGAGAGTGCTGCAGACAGTCGCGCTAATTCAAAATGTAAGGGTGTATTTTGGCCCCCTCGAATTCGGTGTTTCTGTCAGGCAATTTTAAGGGTCGAGCGACCCTTACACAGGGGTCGGTCGGCCTAAGACCCCTCGGAAACAACTTATTTATGAAGGAGCAACGAAAATAAATTTATGGTTGGCGTCATCACAACATGAGGAACTGTATAAAAGGGTTTGGGGCGTTAGGAAGGTTGAGAGCCACTGCAACATGGGGTGGTACCATCTATTAATCTATTGCCTGTGAAACCATCTATGAAAGTATAGGATCTGTTACCTTCTATTAAACTACATGGTCTGATACCACTGAAATATAAACTTACGGTAATATAAGTTTTACAATCTTTGACGCTCATTACATTTTTAATTCAAATCTTCACTGCTACAGCATTTTTATATGGGCTTTTTTTTCTACAGGATACTGTAAAATTTTGTAAACATTTGGTTGCCGTTTCTTCTGTGTATGCGCCACCCCCCCCCCCTGACTGCTGTCCCATAGGCTATGGCCTATGTTGACCCTAGGGAAAATGCGATTCTGCTCAGGGGCCCCATGACAAACTGCATGACTTTGACATGGAATATTCGTTACCACCAACGTTAAGAAACCCATCACCGTGTCAACGTTGTGAACAGGATAGTTAGTATTCTTATTTGGATCTACTCGAGTCATATATTATAAATACATTCAGTTTACCGCAGACGTGTAGCGAAAAGGTGGGGTTTGGGGGGGGGGGGGCGGCAGACGTCCCTGGGCACCAGACTAGTAAGCGGGGCCAAAATGGGCTTTGATATTATTTTATTGATAAAAATAATGGGGGTGAGAGTTGAAAAAAAGAAAAGGGGGGGGGGGCTTTAAACTGAATTTCGTCCCCCGGGAGGGGGGGGCGGCAGACGTCCCTGGGCACCAGACTAGTAAGCGGTGCCAAAATGTGCTTTGATATTATTTTATTGATAAAAATAATGGGGTTGAGAGTTGAAAAAAAGAAAAGGGGGGGGGGGCTTTAAACTGAATTTCGTCCCCCGGGTGACAAACACTCTAGCTACGCCCCTGGTTTACCGTACACATAACAGATGACTGGGTCTGATGAAATCAGGCTGCACGTTAAATTTGCGCTGGAAGGGGTAAGGAGAAGGGGAGGGAGAGTTTGCGGATTTTGTTAGACGTTTGCTGTGAATTTTAAAATACATGAAATGTTCAACCCAATCAAATTTTTTAAAAAAATGCACAATAGCAGGGAGATTGTCGCAAAACTTAACCTTTAATTATTGACGAGTAATAGTTTATTTAGTGTTTGACTCAACAAGTATATTAATAATATTTTTTTTTGTTTTTTTTTAAAATCGAGTCAAAGTCGAATGATTTCATTGCTAATACAGGATAAATAATGAAACCTGGTTAGAATTTTTGGAAACAGAATGAGGGCGTGTAATGTTAGTCATCTACTTTAAAAATAAAAAAAATAAATACAAAATCCAATAGAAAAAAAAAGGGTTTTCAGTCAGGAACTGAAGTTCTTTGTTCAAAGTTTTCCCACGGAAATAAAAATACAAACCATGGACAGGCGCGAAACAAAGCGAAATTTTTGTTTTAAAATTATTTTCCGTTTTTAATTTTGCAAAATGAAAATTCGCAATATAACGAATTATCATGATGGATATAAAAAAAAAAAAGTTCATAGTTTCAACATAGTTTGTATACAAGCGGGTAAGGTTAGGTTAAAGAGTTCATAGTCGTAATGGTATACGTCGTAAAGTTTCTTCAGCACTTTTTTCGGCACCTGTGAGTAATACTGCTGCAGGTACTTGTCCGTCTCGTGCAAGCTGCGTGCCGCCTTCTGCTCCGGGATCTTCACGACTCCCGTCAGCCCACTGTGCCGCAGCACGTGCTGCAGGTCGTCGTGCATTGTGTAGATGGTCCCGACAAAGTCGTATCTGAGCTCACACGGCCGGGACAGCTCGTGGAAGGGCATCCAGTGGTTGTCTGTGCGTATCACGCGACCGGCCTCCGAGACGTACTCGATGAACTCGGGGAACGCGATCGGCTTCCAGTGGAACGACGACTTCCGGTAGATGCGGACGATGTTTTTCGCGATCTTCTCGAAATATCCCGGTCTCGGGGGCGAGAATTTGTCTATGAACGCGGAGAGCAGCCGCTCGAAGGGGTCGCGGACGAAGACGAACTTGTAGTACGTGTTGATTCTGTAGATGATATCGTTGATGGGGAACTCGCTGAGGTGAGTCTCTCTGTGGTTTATTATTGTGTGAACCTGCTCCGGGTCAATGTCGTCGGGGTCACTGCTGTTAAAGAGACCGGCCATGATGGCGAATATCCGGCCAAGGTTGGTGGACGCCACCTTGGCCATCTGTCCAAAAAGTATCTAACGAAAAAAAAAATGTCCATGGAATTGAAATTACTGGAACTAGTTTATATTGAAGATGCAATAAATATACAAATAGAATATATATATATATATATATATATATATATATATATATATATATATAAAATAACTAATAGAGTTAATTTGAAAAACACGCTTCATCTCCAAAGGCTCGAAGCGCTGTACAAAGTCAACCATATTAAAACAGCAATGATACAATCTATATTTTACCACATTGAAATACAAAACGCAACATTGCAAAAACTACATAGGAGACAAACCCATTCAAAGTCTTTCATGCCTTGTAAACATAAACAACGCAAGCCAATATACATCTAGGAGATAACAGCTAGCTTTAAAAGACAGTAGACAACATCACTCTAGCGGGTGTTTTCAAATCGGTTTTGAAGGACTTGCAGTGTCTGGCTGTTTCTGAGAGCGTCAGGAAGGGTGTTCCAAATTGTTGGGCCAGCAATATACATATATATAGTTACTATTTGTATATTTAATTAACCAATTACGCTGTGCTTACAGTGTCAACATTATTTTCTACACGTATTTTAGAAAGCTCGCAGCCTTCATCTCAAACTAACCGCGCCCCCCCCCCCCACGCATTATTTTTTCCTAAACACACACACAATCTGTGGAGACATGTCATCTTCTATTTTCACTCTACCAACAAAGTGTCTAATTCCACTAATCAAAGTTGAGCACCTTTCCAGCTGAACGAACGCCTCACGTTCGAAATGTTGTATGTGAGCCTACCGTTACGTCCTGGCACCCTCCCCCACTCCCCCCACTCCCCCATAAAACCAATGAAAACAATCTTCTACCTGGTGACGGTCATCGACCAGTATCTTGTGGACCATGCCGGGCTTCAGCTTAAAGGCGTCAGTGGCCATGGCCAACGTCGTGCACATGGCCTTGAAATGCCGCGTCCAGAAGTCGGGATCATACTTCGGATTACGTCCGCCGCCCTTGAGAATGGAAACAACGGACAGTGGTGAATGGTCAGAACAGATCAAAATTATTCTTCCTCGCCCCTTTGATATAACTTGGAACACGACACATCTTTGCTCTGCCTCAGAGCAGCATCGGTACACTTCCATTAGTGTTTCCGAACATTGGCGTTGTAATTTTTCAAAAGGTTTTGTTTTTGCTACTGAATTTTTTGTAATACCATAAATTAATTATTTTAATTTTTTAAAACTATATCAAAGTATTTCATTGTTTCTTTTCAAGCGAGTAAATTATCTAACAGAAATTTGTCAATTTCACATTTTTCTATTGCTCGCCAATTTTTTTTATTAAGTAAGTTAAATACAGGTCCATGCAAAGAGAAGAAGGTTATAGTGTAGCGGCAAGTTTGAAAAAACACAACACCAAAGAGGCCAAGTTTACAAATATAGCTGAATTTAGCCATGGGTTCACGCCCGACATGCCAGCATCATGTGTTTTAGAGTAAGTATATATTTGTGATTCTTAAACGGTTCTGTCTGATGAGTTTTATTCAATATTAGCCACGTTTATTTCTATAATACTGCGTACACGATAAATAATACCAAAGAACCTTTATAAGGTACATCTTTTTAAAATTCTTGTCAAGTGGTGGGGATAATTTGGCATGCACACTATTGCTTAGGTTGTTAATATATTTCTAGCATTCTGACCCGCTTACCCTGCATACGGATTATAAATGACATTGCATTTTTAAATCTCCATTCAAATTGACAGAACTGTCACCCCGATCTTACCAGTCACATGTTGTGCTACCAAAACTATTTTATTTTACGCACTTGGTGTGCAATTAAAGCGAACGCGCTCTGGCCAACAAAGAACATGGCTAAATGGCAGATTACCAAAAATATGTTTATTATTGTAAAAATATCTTATGAATATTTGCAGACGGCGGAAAGATGGACGGAGAGATAGAGACAAGATGGCCAGAGAGATAGAGACAAGATGGACAGAGAGAGTCAAGATGGCCAGAGAGATAGAGACAAGATGGCCAGAGAGATAGAGACAAGATGGACAGAGAGAGAGAGAGTCAAGATGGACAGAGAGATAGAGACAAGCTGGACAGAGAGATGGAGGCCAGATGGCCAGAGAGATAGAGGGAAGAGTACAGAGGGAAAACGCAGTATGCTACCAAATAGCCCCACCGCTAAGATCATAATTAGTAAAGATGGAGACCTGACCCAAGACTAATCAACGCTGTGTTTGTTACAAGCACCACTGCCAGACCTGGGCTCTCAATAAAGCTCTCGAGAAAATGTCTTCGGACAGAGGAAGAAAAAGTCGAACTTTTAACTTGCGACGCCTTCCCGACAAAAGCGGACAGAAGTAGAAAACGCCTAGATCTCTACCAGGGGCGACGCCATCAACTTTAGCATGGCGGGTCCCTTGCAGGTCTTAAAAAAATTAGGCGGGTCCCATATAAATGTATTAAAAAATAACATTTATTTATTAAATAATATTTATTAATCTACTAACTTAACCCATTATTGACTTTTGTTGTCGATAAAAATTTAAACTTATAGAGGCATTTAAAATGGAAGTTCTCTTACATGTAATGTAGTTTACGCTTAATGAGCATATATACAATATTGGTAACTAATAAAAAATTTACCAGGTCATTGCCAGGTCCCAAGTTTTTTTAACCAGGTCCTGGGACCCGGCGGGACCTGGTGTAGCGTCGCCACTGATCTCTACACAGCTGGGACTCAGTAACAAATTTAACCTTTGTCATGTCTGATCTTGTTATACCTGTTTATCACCTGGTAATATTTGCTTGTCTGAAATCTCCTCTTCGTACTCTTCATCCACGTGTCGTTGCCTCTAAATGCGACCATAGAATAAGACCAAACAAAAATTTTAAAGAAATTTGAGAGGCTATCTTTTGTTTACAAATCAATCAAATCTTTTAAAACAATGCCATTACCAATTTAAGTTGATAATTTTAAATTAGAAAAATCAGAAAAATACCTTTTTAAAAAAAAATGAAATTAAAATCTTTATAATTTTATGTCAACGTGCAAACATAAACACACATACACCTTTGCATAAACACACTATGGAGTGCAGCCAAAAATAAACTAAATTTAAATCAAAGCTGTCAATGCGTGATAACAGATTGATACAAACTTTGGGTGTTCACGAATCACCCTGACAGTCAATGCCGTTGACCTACTTGCCTATCCGCGTCTTCCGGGTTTCGAGCAGGTTCCGGAACGTCCGTTGGATTCCGAAGCTCGTACCGGGACTGTCTCCCTGGAACTTCAGAATCTGCCGGTGGGTCGGGTAACGCACGGACGTGGTCCGGTTCTTGTTTTGACCCGACTGGGTTATTTATAGATTCGGGAAGTCCCCGTTTTTCTGAAAGGTATGGATGAACAAAAAATGCCTTAAGATATGGCCCTTTTTTTTGTATGGCATATAAACGACACATCCATGGCCATTTCCGAACAGCGTGTCCTTAAGATGTGCACTACTTAGGTGAAAGTCTTTTCAATATGAAAAATAAATTGGGAAGCACGACGATTAAATGGTTCTAAAATAATGCTAGTGTATGGGGGGGGGGGCGAAGAGGAGTTACTGGTAAGATCAGGAGGGGTTGGGGGGGAAGTGTGGGTGAGGTCAAGGGAGAAAGGTCAGAGGTCAGGGTTTAAAGGGCTAGTGTGTAATCAAGTGTTGATACCGCATATTTTCTCTCCATTCATTCCCGTCCCCTATCACTCCCCCCCCCTCTACTTTAGAAACAATAGTTATATTAAGCTGGTTTAGGAAAGTCAATGAAGGCAATCGTGGCCCCCATCCCTCCCCCACTTTTTCCTAAAGAGATGGGAGGAATGCTAGCCCCCCTTACTCCCCTCCTCTCAAAGTAGAGGCCACACTTAAAGCAAGTCCTAGCTGTGGCCTTGCATGCATTTCCAATAGTGTGACACATTGGCTGGTGTCCGACACTTCCACACATGGAATTGTGTTTTATAAGTCTGGCTCATTCGTTCGTGGGCCTTTATCATTTGTATCCAGTGATCCAACACAGAGGCGTAGCTAGACACTGTGTCATCCAAGCGACCTCCCTCTTCCTCTCCCCCCCACCCCCACCTCTTGTTACACGAGTGATCCGACATGAACTGACATGGGTTGGAAAACAGAAACAAATCCCACAATTTTTTTATTTTGTTCTTTCTTTTACCGCTAAACAGTACAGAAATATTTACTTCACGACGGTTACCTACCTCGTAACAGTGTGAGCAGCAAGTCCTGGTCCAGCCGGACACACTCACAGTCTTTATGTTGGTCTACAGCCCCGGGTGCCGCGTACATGAGGACCATTGTGATGAGCGCTGTGGCTATGATGTAGTGGGCGGGTTTCAAATTATGGCGCCCTAACCTCATTTTTTTTTAGATTCGCGGCCAACCGGTGACACTATGTGCGTGCTTCAGTCAGTCAGAGCTGCAAACCAATCGTTTTAAATGCAACCAATCAGTTCAGCTCTAATCCTTACAACGACTACATTTTGCTCCTTGTCTATCTGATACATTTGTGTTTGTACCTTAAGACCAAGGGCCATAAATCACAATTTTAGAATCAATTAAATTATAATAAAAAGAAAATAAATGGGTACGTGTTTTGTTTTATCTTCTTAAAGCTTGATTGATGTTTCGAAACATGTTATTAATTAACTGGTTTCAGTTTGTCGTTTTAGTACAACAAGATGTTGTGTTCTTCAATTCTTTTTTTTTAAAATTATTCATTAAGATCAAAAGTCAGGAATTAGCTTTTAAATTTAACGGCACAATTACATAATACCAGGGACGTCATGTGGGTAAGGCTAGGTGGGGCATTTGCGCCCCCTCTTCTGAATTTGCAGGTTCTATTTAAAATGCTATGTACCGTGGCGCATCCAGTAATAAACAACTTAACGAGGCGATATCAGAAAGTCTTTATTTTTTACTGTTCAGATAAATAATGATTTTGAATTCATCGCGATAATGAAACGTTGTTCAAAGATCTACTCCAGTTATGGGAAAATTAACCTCAGACGCATGATGCAAGAATTTAACATATAAATACTTTAGTTGGATGCACATCATTCGCAAAAAAACAATACAGCAATTTTAAATGCAATGCAAAATACATAAGAAAACTTGAGATCAGAAAAGGAAAAAAAAATTAAAAATTTTTTTAAAGTAATCTTCCGGTTTTTTTTTAGTAATCTTCCCTGGTTTGTTTAGTAATATTCCCTATTTTTTACCTTAATCTTTGAAGAATTCCCTCTTATTTCATTTCATCTTATTTAATTGCATTTATTTATTTCTAATCTTTTTAGGTTTCCTGTCAATCTCATTCCAAAATTCTTTGACTTCATGCGTCACTTCCGTAATTGAATATATCTACCGTTAAAATTGTCTTTCAACTACGTATCTGATAGCTGATTTTGTCTGTCTCTGTATTTTTGCTGTCGAAGACTTCTTGGCCGAAACGTCCCCCCACCCCCACTTCACCCACCCCCACTTTTGTTGTTGTGATTTGTGTTTTACTATTTCAGATGTTCCTCTACCCTGTGTAAGGTTGCCAGATGTCCACTATTTGAGCGGACAGACCGTTTTTTTTCCACGTTATGTCCACACTTTTTTTTTTCACAAAATAGTGGACATTTTTTTTTATTCAAAAGCCTTATGATGAAATGGTACGTAATCTAAAGTTGTACAGTTATGATGAAATGGTACGTAATCTAAAGCTGTACAGTTATGATGAAATGGTACGTAATAAGGATGGGATAATCGCGTTTTGTCTTTTTTTCATAAGTTAGAATGAGACAAAGATCAAATATCCATTGAACTTGATTCTCCGAAAATAATTAATCATACTATGATATTCAATAAAAATACACACGACAGCAGAGTAAAATTAAATTAAATATTTTACAAATTATTATAATATATTTGATGCTTTGAATTTTAAGTAAAGTT